CAAACCCCACTAGATGTGTGTGGGGGGGGGGCAGTCTGGCTCCACCAGCAGGAAACCCCAAACCCCACCAGACGTGTGTGTGTGTGTGTGTGTGTGTGTGTGTGAATCTGGCTCCACTAGCAGGAAATGGGCCCCCCCAAACCCCACCAGTCCTCTGTGTATTGCGGGGGAGGGGGCCGTCCGGCTCGTTTCCAGCACCGAGAGGGCTGTGGCCACAAACGGGGCATCAACCTGCTCTCCATGCTTACAGATGTGTATGGGGACAGGTGTCCAAAATGTTCTCAGGCTGGTGGCATCGCTCAGCTTCCAGGCCACTCACCCCTTAGTTATAAGAGCCTGAAGGGCCAGCTCAAAGGGTCTGGAGGGCCCCTCGGGGCAAGGCTTCCCCTGGAAGCTGGTCCTGTTTGGGCTCTGAGCCCTGGGGGGCAGGAAGAAGGTGGGCGTGCAGGGGAGGGCAGCAGCTGGCCCAGGCCCACCATGGGAAGGTACCAGCAGGGCCTGGGTGGGACAATTATGGGGGACATGTGACTCCAGGGCCTGGGTGGGACGATTATGGGGGACATGTGACTCCAAGTGCTGCACGGCGGCTGCAGGAGGATGTGGGGGACCCAGTGTCTGGCTTGGCTGATGGCTGGGTACGGGGGAGACAAGTGGCTTATGGGGCCAGGGGCAGAGTAGCTGGGAGGGGAGTTATCCAATCCATCGTGAGGATCCCGCCCCCCACCTCCCTCTGTGTCTTCATCTGGCTCCTCTTGATGTAGATGAAGTTTAGTAAAATGGCAGGTCCACGGGCCAGAGTGACAGTACAGCTGGGAGGGCATTTCCTTACACGTGAGCAACCCTGGTTCCATCCCCAGCCCCCCATGTAACGCCCTTCTTCCCAAGTCCTCCCAGGCGTGATCCTTGAGCCTAGAGCCAGAAGTAAGCCCTGAGCACAGCTGGGTTGGGCCCCAAATGAACAAAAACCCACCAAGGTCCAGTCAAGGGCCCAGGCCCCAAAGAGTAAGTGAGGGTGTTTTCCCAGAGAGACACCCTTGACCCATAGGCAGGTGGCCTGCATGTGGGCATGAGGGCCACCAGGAAGCCACATCCACTGTTCGTTAGCTGTTCTTCTCTGCTACATCACCTGGACTATTTCTGTTTTTGTTTCACACTTTCAGGGGATACCACCCATGTGGCCTGCAGTTACATGGACTTGAATGTATTTCAGCCACTTAAAATTTTCTTCCCTTCCCTCCAGTATACTATAAAGGAAGTTATTGAAGCAACAATTGAGCCCCCCTCCCCCAAGGAGCTTTGGTTTATGTGAGTCAAATCAACATTCACCATATGAGTGCCTGAGAACAGATGACTGGTTAAAGAAACTTTGGTACATTTACACAATGGAGTACTATGTAGCTGTTAGAAAAGATGAAGACATGAAATTTACATACAAGTAGTACTACATGGAAAGTATTATGTTAAGCGAAATGAGTCAGAAAGCGAGGGATAGACATAGAAATATTGCATTCATCTGGGGAACATAAAGCAACAAAATAGGAGACTAACAACCAAGAATGGCTGAGATTAGTACCAGGAATTTTGCTCCATGGCTTGGAGGCCAGCCACACATGCTAGGGGAAAAGGGAGCTCAGATAGAGAAGGGAACACCAAAATAAAGGGTGTTGGGAGGATCCTTCCAGGATGGGAGAAACATGCTGAAAGTAGACTATACACCAAACATGATTGCCACTCAATGCCTCTTTTGCAAACCACAACACCCAAAAGGAGAGAGAGAACAAAGGAGAATGCCCTGCCACAGAGGCAGGGTGGGAAGGGGGGGGAGATGGGGGGCCGGAGGGATACTGGGATCCGTGGTGGTGGGAAATGGGCACTGGTGGAGGGATGGGTATTTGATCATTGTATAATTGAAACCCAAGCACAAAAATTTGTAAATGTACAACTGTACCTCATGGTGTCTCACTAATAAAAATTTTTTAAAAAATTAAAGCCCCAAACTGAAAAATACTAATTTTGAAACAATATACCCAATGCTTCTGCTTCTTTTTTTTTTTTAATAAGGACCATATTTTCAAAACCCAAATAAACTTGAACAGAGCGGCGGTGTTTTTGCATCTTCGCAAACTTTCCTCTGGCTGGGGAAGCAGCCACATCTCTGCTCTGAATCCCCCCGCTGCCTGTGTAGTCCTGGTGGCAGTGGTGGTGGCTGATGGGAGACCCCGGGCCGCACTCCAGAGGAGGTGCTGTGCAATGAACCTGAGTGACCACGTTCCACTGGAGGCCGCCAGCCCCAGGCAGGAAGGGTCCTGGGCTGGATGGGCAGTGGTGGTGGGCTGACAAGGGGCTCATGAGGGGCCCTGGTTCTGGTCACCCTGCGCTGACACCCCCACACACCACCACTTTCCGAAGTCCCACCATGGGCGCTCTGGAGGGTGCCTGGTCATACTCTCCTTCCTGGCAGGCAGAGACGGGAACTGTGGCAGTGGACATGTCCCTAATGGAACTTCCTACTTTGGAGGCAGTATCCCTCCTTGGCCAACAACAGGCCCACCCCCACTGCTGTGCCAACTCCCAGCCTTCCTGTCTGTGTGGGGTGGAGGGTCTGCACCTCAGTACGTCCCCTCCTGGCATCAGCCCTGTCCTGCTCTCCCATCTGTAACCCAGGAGTGTGCAGCCGGGAACAGCTTCCCTGCCTTGCACTACCAAGCGTGTCTGACCCCCATGGGTCTCCCTGAACCCAGGCTCAACCTCCCCGGCCCCTCCTGCAGTGCTCCCGGCAGCCGCCCTTGAGACCCTCCCCGTGGCACCTTCTCATCCGGCCTCTGCCCATCCTCCCTACTCTGGAGATTCATCACCGTTACTTCAACAAGGGGCTCTAAGGAGCTTAGAGGGTCTGTAAGAGGGAAGGTGAAAACTACGCAGGAGCTACACGGGTTTGGGGGTCCCCCGTCTGCTTTTTTTTTTGCATCTGTGCAGCTGGGGGCCTCATTCCTCGGGCATGTGCTGTCCCCCAATCCCACCTACCCTGAGTGGAGCTCAGCTTATTCTCAGGCCAAGAAAATGAGTCGTTTGACGTCCATGGTGTGAGCAGTGGCTGTACTTGGGCGTGCAGGGCGTGGCTGAGCCTCCTGTGCTGCTGCCTGAGAAGGAATACGCCCCAGGGAGTGCCCCCCGCCCCCACTCCAGCCCCCCCAATCCCAGAAGATGTCTTGGTCAGCCACCTGGGTCCAGCCGGAGGGTGCCCGGGGCAGCCTGCAGACAGGGCAGCGGGAATTCCCTGTGAACCACTGAGATCTCCGAGGTGGTTTTTGCAGCCAACGCTGAGTAACCACTGGGTCTTGAGGAGCGACTCCACGGTTACAGAATTTGACAGGTTTTAAAAGCCAGAGCTGCATGGCAATTAGGAAAATCCCCAGACGGTAGCTGGGCTTGAGTAAACTTCCACAGACAAAACAGCTCTGTTTTTTAACTAATGTCTGGAAGCGAGACGTCCGACGGGGGACGGCCTACCTGGGTTGAGCAAGCTTATCCCCTCACTCGGGCAGGCAGACACCAGCTGGGCTTGCCCAGGGCACACACTTTGGGCTGGAGGAGAAAAGGGACCGGAGGGACATTTCAGGTTTAGGAGGGAGGATTACATCCAGCGCAAAGCCCCTGGCCTGAAAATTCACAACCATGGAGAACTCAAAGAGAAGAGGGGCCTGAAGTTTCAGGCAAAGGTCACCCTGGCACCAGATGCAGCCCATCGTCAAGGGTTTAGCATCACATGACCTCCAGTGGTGGCAAGGCTACTGTGATATGTGCTAGTGGCCGCTCACACAAGACACGCTTTGCCAGGTGGAGACCACCCCTGAACAGCTCTTCACTATAACCCTGCTAAATGGCACCATCTCTGGCTCATAGCAGGCTCTGAATGTTGGATGGTTGAGAAAATGAATCCTCCTTAAAAAATGGCACATCCTGCTGCTCACAGCTGCTTCCCACATTCTGATGAGGTGTAAAGCCACTGAGAGCGAGCGAGCGAGAGAGAGACAGAGACAGAGAGACAGAGACAGAAAGAGTCAGAGACAGAGGGACAGAGGGACAGAGAGACAGAGACAAAGAGACAGAGAGAAAAAGACAGAGACAAAGTGACAGACTGAGAGAAGAGACAGAGAGACAATGAAACAGAGATAAAGAGACAGAGAGACGGAGAGGAGAGAGAGACAGAGACACAGAGAGAGAAGAGACACAGACAAAAGAGAGAGCGCGCGCTCAATCTGTGTCAATCTGGCCTTCAGGCACCCAGCATGCCAGAACGGACTTTCTGTCATTAAAAGTGCTCCTTGCCAGGTATTTAATTCAGATGAAGCCAAATTCAGGTCCCTCTTAATAGACTGCTAACGAAATGGGTATTTTCTGGTCTCCTCTCCAATAACATCAGCATTCCTTTTCATTTTCACCTACTTCTGAGCGTGTTCCCCCTCCCCCCAGTTAAGAACACTTCTCATCTCCCGGGATCTGGCTCTTGTCCTCCTGTCCCCCTGGTGACCCACCGGCACCTATCAAAACATACTTATCTGGGAAATAACCGGAGCTGTAATTCTGCTGTTGCTGAGAGATGAAATGTTTAGACCGAGCACCTGTTCCTGCTGGGCATTTGGGCCAAGGCCATCTTCTCCAGCTTACCAATGACAGGCCATGTTTTCTATTATGGCTAATTAATAGTCTTAAGATTCCGAGGAATGTACAGAACCCTCGTTGCTTATTTTGGTTGTTCCCAGAGAGACGCTTCGTATTATGCACGTGGAAAAACTCAAGGTGCTAAACAACAGTGTCACTCTGTGGCCCGGGACCAAGCGGGCAGGGTGCGTGTCCCAGAGCATGGGGGCACTGCCTCCACCAAGGCGTCTGGGCTGGGCACAATGAGTCTCCTGACCCCTGGACACAAAGACCCTGGAGAGTTTAGTCCCTCCATCCACACCCGGTCCTCATCACAAGATTCCACACCAGGCACGTAATTAATGTCATAAGCCATCTTTAAGGACATCTGCCAGAGACAGACCTGCACAATAGAAACTTAAAAAAATACTTTTAACATAATACATTGGACTGCATAGAACTACAATTCAACAAAATACATCACACTGCTAAAATTGATAAATATCCTACCTGCACGGTGTCACTGCATTAGAACAATCCCCCTGTCAAGGGGAGTAAAGACCGGCGTCACCCAGGCCACAGGAGAACTATCTGAACAGCAGATACACACTAAAAAAACCCAGCAACTAGGAGGTTTATGAACAAGAGGTGGGCACGGAGAACGCTTTAGTGGGGGCTCTTGGATCATAACAGGAACCATCTGAAATACAATTTGAGACCAGCAGTATACAAAAATACTTTTTAAAAAAACAATACTTTCAACAGGTAGAGTACCGTGTAACAACCACCTCTCCACATCAGCGTGGCTCTTTGCTTTTGAGGAAAACCGGGACCATTCAAACTACTGGTCCCAAGCAAGCTGGCGATACACACGCGCGTGCGCGCGCGCGCGCACACACACACACACACACATACACACAGCTTTAAACCGGCGCACCAGCCTGCACACACACACACACACACACACACACCACACATACAGAGCCTCGGGTTCAAGTAACCTCTGACAACAAACAAGGTTAGAGGTTTGGAGCCTTTTCCCCCACTTCACTTGGGGAAGGATTGGAAAAAAAAAAAAGCTCAGTGGACCTTGTGTTCTGTGCATGTGGTTTTCTATTCCACTCATGGGTGCTTCCCGCGAGCTTAATCTGGCATATCGATACTCAACTTGGGAGGCGGGGGAACATATTTCCCAGGGCTTTGGGTTATAACTACCCTGGTCTTTTTCCCAAACATGGGACCGATTTTCGGGGCTTCCGACCCCGAGGCTTCTTCAGCATCTTCACTGTCTTCGTGATGCAGATCATAGGAGATGTTCCCATACTCGCGCAAAAACGGAAAGATCTCGAGCAGAAACTGGCAAAAGTCTCTGCGGATGCCAAACCACCAGTGGTTGCCCCCCTTCCGCCGGAAGGTGGTGGCCATCAGGGTGATCAGCGACAGCCAGAGGGGCACGAAGAGGGAGACGTAGGAGAAGGCGTTGTGCCCGTCCAAGCGGTGCACCAGCAGGATCTCGAAGGTGAGCAGGGGCAGGACGATCGTGACCCAGATGATGGCCATGGTCACGTGCGTCCGCCGCTGCTCGGCCACCACGTCCAGGGAGCGCAGGAAGAGGAGGGACCAGACGACGTAGTAGAGGACCACCAGGCAGAGGAAGGACATGAGGATCCACAGGGGCACGAACACCACCAGCCACGGCCAGTGGATGATCCGGTCCAGCCGCAGGGCGATGAAGATGAACTGCAGGATGTTGACCGAGCACAGGATCTCCAGCTCCAGCGAGCGGTCGTGGCGGAAGCCCCAGACGCAGGCGGCCACGGCCACGGGCGACACGAAGAAGAGCGGCATGAAGACCAGCAGCCAGAAGTGCGTGCCCCGCTCCACGCGGTCGCACACCAGCACCTCGAACATGAGCAGCAGCAGGTGGATGCCCACGGCGATGAGCATGGCCTTGAACTCGACGCAGGCGCCGCCCTCGGCGCGGTAGCGGGGGTTGCGGGCCCACACGGCGGCGCCCACCGCCGCGCCCACCATCACCAGCGCCTTCCACAGCCAGATGGGGGCGAAGACGGCCCAGTAGCTCCACTGGATGACGCCGTCCAGGCGCAGCGGCAGCAGCACGCAGAAGAGCAGCAGGCAGGCGTAGATGAGGAACTTGCTGGGGTTGAAGTCCTGGAACAGGCCCCGGGGGTTCATGGCGAGGCCCGCGAGGCCGGGCCGGGCCGGGCCCGCCGCCGCCGCCGCCGCCGCCGCCGCCAACGCCTCCCCCCGAGCGCGCCCTGCGTGCCTGCGCCCCGGTGGGCCCCGCCGGGGACGAGGCCGCCGAGGGGGCGCAGCCGCCGCCGCCGCCGCCGCCGAGCCGCCCGGCGCGCCCGAAGCCCCCCGACACGTGCGCGCGCCGTCACGTGCGCGGCGGCCGCAAGGCGGGGCGGGGCGTGCGCGCGCGCGTCTCTCGTGGCGCGCGCGCGCGGGAGGGGGTAGTAGCGGGAGGTCCGGCCCACCCCAGCCCACGCCACCCCGACCCGACCCGGCCGCGGCTCCGGTCGGTCGGTCACTCGGCGCCCATCGTATGCACGGCGGCAGCCTCGGCCGGGGCCGCGCACGGGGGCTGCAAGGCGCGCCGCGGAGCGCGCGGGGCGGGGGCGGACGCTTCCTGCCGCACCCCGCCGGAGCGCGGACACTGAGCTCACATCCTCCCCGCCCGCCCGTCCGCCCGCCGGAGGGCTGAGCCCCGGGGCCGCCCAGGGGCGCGGCGTGGCCACCCCCGCCCCGCGAAGGCGTGGCCGCGGCGAGCGGGAGGGAGCGAGGCGGGACCGGTAACCGTCGGGAGAGTGCGCCGCGCGGGTGCGCGCGTGCCGCAGAGCTGCGCGCGGGCGTGGCGAGGCGGGGGCCTCGGCTGGGGAGAATTCTCGGGACTGGGCGTGGTGTAGAGAAGAGGGAGGCCAAGAGCTCCCGGAGGCTCTCGGGCTTCCTGGTAGCGGGGGGTGTGTATGGGGTGGGGAGGAGGTTCTTGCAGCTGTCCGGGTATCCGAGATGGGCCAGGCAGGTACTGAAGGAGTTTAGGCCCGAAGGACCCCTGAAGCGGAGCAGCAAGGGGAAGCCCTGCCCTCGGGGGTCACACTGCGCATGAGTGGACCGAGTAATGACCCAGGCTTTGGACTTCAAGTCCCTAACTCTGATTTCTTCTTCTTTTTTTATTAGTGAAAAACCATGAGGTACAGTTATAGGCTTACAAATTTTGTGCTTGGGTTTCAGTTATACAATGATCAAGTGCCCATCCCTCCACCAGTGTCCGTCATCCATCCCCACCTAACTCTGATTTTGAATCTGAATCTAATTTGGCTCACCCGCAGGCCTCCTGGGGCAACCTGGGCCGCAGGGACACTGGACTAGAGGCCAAGAAGCTTGGTTTCCTGGACAGGGAAGTGGCATCGGTAGAGCAGCACATTTCACAACATTATTTGCTGATGTTAGAGGGAAGTGAGGCCTGACCATTATGGGAAGGTGGTTTTTTGGTTTTTTTTTTTTTTTAAGTTGTGCTGGTATTGTTTACAGATAATTTAGCAATAAACTCTTTGGTGCAAGATTAGGATACACAGAATACTCGAAGATGAACTTCAGAATTGAGTATTTCAATTGACACACTTCATTTCTTCCTGATGGTTTAGGAAACAGTTTTCTCCCCAAAACTAAAGAAAGTTCGCACACAATATTGTGGTGCTGTAAACAAACCTTGCCAGATTGGCTCTGGGAAATAGACTGTTAATGCGCATATGACTGTAGGTTCTCTGCCCACAGTGGGGTAGAAGACAAACGTGTGTCCTTGAGCCAGTGGAGAGGTCATTGCTTCTCTGTCTTTTCAGCAGTGCCATCATGGAGTTACACCATGTGATGATTACACAAGGCAAGATTATAAATCAATTCTTGGACTGAAAAAAAAAATGGGTCAGCAAGAATGCAAAGAGATACAAGTCTCTTGTGAGATACTGGATTTGATCCCCAGCACCACAAAAATCTGGAAATCTGGTCCAGTTTTTGCTGTGGCACGACTTAACAAACCTAATCAGATTCATGCCTTTCTACCTACCTAGGGCTCAGTGTCCTGAGCTACTGGGGGATGGGCCAAGACTGGGGGGGGGGGCCCTGGCAGTAACAGTCTCCAAGGGCCAACAGTGCTGGCGGGTCTGTGGGACAGACCCGGCCCCTGAAGGATGCTCTCTTGGCCCCCTCTTCCTTCCTCTGCAGCTGAGTCCTGTTTGCTGGCCTTTCTGCCTTGCAGAGAGCATATCAAGGGCTCCAGGAGGTAACAAGGAAGGGTTTCCTGAGAGACAAAGGGGAACCACAGGTGCAGGGGTTGGTTTTCCCAAGTCAGCATCCACAGGATGTGTGTAACGGGTCAGTAACCTCAGCCTTTAAAGGTCTCACCACCAGGCAGATGGCTCAGATGGTAGGTGGCAGGCTGCCATGTGTGAGGTTTGATCCCTTGTACTGCTTGACCTCCCAGCATCACTGTGTTATGGTCTCGGCTTCTGACCCCTGAGACAAGAAGAAGGAAAAAGCTCAGTTAAGATCCTACAGTTTCACTCGCTCCGTCCTTGGCCGGAAGCACTGGGAAGTTCTAGGGGAGACTCTAAGATGAGTGAACCCCACTGGTCCTCAGAGTTAACTGTGAATCCTCATCTCGTAGGTATCTTCTCAGAGACCCTTGTTTTCTGCAGTGCCCAGTTGGAGTCATTGTGGGGGAGAAAATGAGCTAAGTGGGGATCTACCCCTTCCTCCAGGTTGGAAGGGAATCCTGGACTTTCTTGTCCTATTTACTCTTCAGAAGGGGTTTGTTAGGTAATACAATGTTGTTTTGTTGTTGTTGTTGTTGTTGTTTTAATTTTAAAAAACATGGGAAACTAAACCAGACCAGCCCAACCTCACAAGGACTTAAGAAGCATACAGGATTGTTTCAAAGACTAGATCTGTGTTTCCCAAACTGGCAATACCGACCCAGGTGGGTGCTAGAGTTATGAGAGCCAGGAGTAGCCTCAGGTATAAATAGGGAGCACTGTGTTTGCGTAAAGAAGGCAGAATCCCAGAGAGGTGCTGAATAGTGTATTTTTATTTTATTTTATTTATTTATTTATTTATTTTAAGCGCCCAGTAGACCAAATAAGTTTGGAGATCTCTGGTTGGGATGAATCAATCCCTGGAAATGGGTTTATATGGAAAAGAAATGGGTGCTTTTTCTATGAGCACTGAGTGGGGAGTAAAGGCAGAGGAGGTGGAGGGGAGCTGCTGGTGGCTCTGTGACAGGACAAGCCCTACGGATCTCGCTAGAACAGTAAGAAATTCTTCCCCGTCTCCTGTAGCCAGGGATGAATGCACCTCCCCCATCACGGATCTCTGCACTGCCATCTCCAGAGGGCCTTGTCTAAAGGCTCACCAGGTGCCCCTCACTCAGTAGGGGACCTGGCCTACCCCAGTGTGGCGTGGCCCACATTGTCCCTGTTGCATGGTAGTGTAGCCCAATAGCATTTGCTCGCTCCAGAAACACAAAGAGCCTCAAAGCGATCGGTCAGGGTCTTGACGAAGAAGTCTGACCATCTATCTCGTAGGTGGGCGGCCACGCGATCTTTTGACGTCCAGTGGAATTCAGTTGATTCTAGTCCAACGGTCGTCTCCTGAGAGGTCACAGTCAGCTCTGGGCTCGTGCCAGAGTCATAAGTGGGGGTGTGGGTGTACTACTGGCTGCATGGCTCTACGGCCGGACTTTCAGAGGCTATAGGCCCTGGCCCCCTAGTCCTGTATACAGGAGGAACATCCATTTCCCCTGACGTGGTCAGTCTCTGGGGAACCTGCCTCTGTGGTTATATTTACCTTAAGCTGATTTAGCTTGTTGACCAGGTGTCGGGCATAGACTGTGTTTGGCAGGCAGGCTAACCTGAGTTTATCTCTTTGCAGAGGGTGGAGACCTACTTGTGCTAGTCTATCCCTGCACTGGGGGGGGGGGGGGGGGGCGGGGGGGAGAAGGGTCTGGGGTCCTCAGTATTCTTTTTTTTTTTTTGCTGTTCGGCATCCTTACCCCTTAACTCTGTCACTTGCAGGAGCTTAGGTGCTTGTCCCCACTCAGCTGCTGGCCAAACTCTGTCCTGAGGGTCTGCCACAGCGGGGGTCTGCTGGCTTCCACAGCCCCGCTGCCCTGCTGTCTCCTCGGCTGGCCCGTTCCTCACACCCCACCTCCCACCTGCATCCCAAGACCCAGACAGGGCTCCAGAGCCTGGGAAGGCAAGACCCTCTGGAGGACCGGTGGCCCTTCCTTGACCCTCACGACGTCACGGGCTTTGTTCCTACCAGGGGACTCATTTTTCAGAGCTAAATCCGGCCAACTTAACACCCAGGAGATTTGAGTTCCCCTGCACCCCACTGGTGCTTACGTCTGCAGCAGATGCTGAGAAAGGTTGGGTGAATTAGGGAGTCAGTGTGATCCTGCTGTGGCTGTGAGACTCCTGTCCCAGATCCACCGGTTCCTCTCCTCTCCCTCCTTCCTGGGAGCAGTGAGGGCTGACAGCCTCATCCCCACCCACAGAGTCAGGGGCCACGAGGGCCCTCCACCTGGGGTCAGGGCGTTCTGTGTGGGGCAGCTGACTTCTTAGTTGCTAGTTTGAAACCGCCTGCTGTAACAAATCTCCACCAACTCAGCAGTTTGAAACAATGCCATTGTGTCATGGGACCTGGGTCTGTAAATCTAAAGTCCAGGCAGAGGGTGGTGGGGAGGATTCTCTGGCCCAGCCAAGGCCCAGATCAAGGTATCAGGGGACCCTTGTTCTTTTCCAGAGGCTATGGCTGGCAAAGCGGCTTTGGCCTGTTGGCAGAATTGGTTCCAAGGCGATGGGAGTTTGAGTTTCCCATTACCCCGTGTCTGGGGGGGTGGGTGGGTGCAGGGGGGGTGTCATTCTTTGCCTCATGCATTTGCTGGTTTGTCGTCCCCCTTCTCAAGCTTTCAGATCCCCCTTGGCCCCGTCTTTCTCTCTCTCTCTCACCCCTGCCTTACTTTTTTCCATTTGTAATGGTTCTCGGGATTTCCAGCAAATCCAGGATAATCTCTCCGTTCAAGTGAGCCCATTAGCTACCTTGATTCCAGCTGCGGACCCCCTGCGTCAGCAGCACCGCAATTAGTGAAGGGGTCAGGGAAGGCCCGGTCACATGAGGACGCCACTCACGCACAGCCCAGGTGTGGGGGAACCCCCGGAACTGTGGGATCCTGGGGT